AATCGTGACAGAAGGCAAGGCGGAGCAAATCACATCTTATATGGATGACGGCAGGCAAAAAAAAGAGCTTGTGCAGAGAAACTCCCATTTTTAAAACCATCAGATCTCGTGAGACCCACTCGCTGTCACGAGACAGCACGGGAAAGACCCACCCCCATGATTCAGTTGTCTCCCACTAGGTCCCTCCAACAACACATGGGAATTATGGGAGCTACAAGATGAGATTTGGGTAGAGATGCAGAACCAAACCATATCAAATATGTTAGTTACAGACCATGTAGACATACACCTAGAGCCTAGTGCTGACTAATATCTATGGTGACATGAGATTAATCAACCAAGAGCACATTGTTTTTGTTTAGCAGTATATTAATAAAGTGATGGTTATTATTTCAGTGCATGCCTCTGACTATAATAGTCACTAATAAACTTTTAAACAACTTTGGGATTTTACAAGTGAATTTTATTGTCACTGTTTTCTATTTTATAAAAGAGACTATGGTAATTAAAGAATATGCTTTTTGTTAATGAAAGGAATAATCAAGGTTGCAAATAGAAGGCCAGCCAGAAGCATAAAGCATTTATTTGCCAGGCATGGTTTGTTTTTGTTGTTGTTTTAATTTCCTGAGAGGGAAAGACTAAATACAAAATTCTTATCAGTCACTTCTGAAGTTTATACCCATCTTTTAAAGAACTCATTTGTCAAACCATTCTTCATTTATCTAACAGTAGTAGCTAATAAAAAGAATTTTTTGTTTTTTGTTTTTTGAACCCGAGTCTGGCTCTGTCACCTAGGCTGGAGTGCAGTGGTGCGATCTCAGCTCACTGGAACCTCTGCCTCCTGGGGTCAAGCAATTCTCCTGCCTCAGCCTCCGAGTAGCTGGGATTATAGGCGCCCACCACCACCTCTGGCTAATTTTCGTATTTTTACTAGAGACGGGGTTTCACCCTGTTGGCCAGGCTGGTCTCAGACTCTTGACCCCAGGTGATCCACCTGCCTCGGCCTCCCAAAGTGCTGGGATTACAGGCATGAGCCACTATGCCTAGCCAACAGAAAGAATTTTTAAACTTCCCAAATTTAATATAAATGATAAGAACCTTTTTCACTCTATTTTAAATGTCTCTCTTTAAAGGTTCCAGCTCAGCAAGTGCTGTTCAAGATGAGACTTCTAAACATTAGAATTAAACCTCCTGACTCACTTGCCTGCCCTCTCACTGACCTTGCTTCCTCCCACTTATGGCCAGAAAACTCAAGATAGTAAATACAAAGCTGGGAGATCTAGGGACTTGGGGAAAAGCCTCATATGAAAAACAGTTATTATTCATTTGGCCATTTGCACTATCAGATATTTTTCTTTTGAAACATAATCTCCTGCCTTCAACAAGAGAGAGTATATCATATCATACAGTCTATGCACTAGAGAAATTAAGATGACTGCCAAAGGACAGCACCACTTAAAACCCAAATCGTTTTTAATTGGTGTGAACTCGATGAAGACCTAAGGATAGTGGATTGGGAGATAAGCCAGTGAGGCTGTTTTACATTTGATAAAACTCTCATTTGGGAGACATAAAACAGATGTTTATTGTTTTTGCTATTAACCCTAAATGTCCAGATAGTAAAAAATTATACACATATGCTTGCGCACACACACTTATATATGTTTTAATTTAAGCATGCTGCCTTAAATAAGTTTCAACCACTGTAGCAAGTTCATGAGGCTTCAATAGAATGGCCTTTCTATTTTATGTGCTTTTGGTATATCCTCTTGGTTCTGGAATGACATCAGATGCAAAGTCATTCATATTATAGACAAGGAGAGCTAAGGGTCTAGTTTGTGCATCATGTATATTCTAGATCTTATCTGGGGCTCACTTTGAAAACACAAATCAAGTTAGCTACTTGTCATATTCCATGAGTTTGTATATGTGAAAAAAGATAGAAACTAAGATCTAAAATAAGTTTGAGGATTATCTATGGATCTCAGTATGTTTGTATTTCTTCCTTTTTTTTT